CCTTCCCCCTCTGGTTACCTCAGTTTTATAGTAAGAGTTTATTGGTTTTGTTTTAGTGTCTTCTATGCTTCAGGCATTGGAAATGGAGCAGTGATAAAGCAGTTCTAGTCTCATAATTATTTGAGTTACACCTAAGTCATATGTTAGGTGTCCTTACAGAAAATTTCTGAGCAGTAAAATAGCACTGCTGGGAATACAGGTTTGAGTCAAAAGCTCCTGCCAAGTAGGGGAAAATACCAATAGCAGAGGGGAGTGGTGGGCATTGCATTGTGATAGCTCCAGCCTAAGGTAGGCCATTATTTTTTTTTCCCACTAATTTTTCCTTCCCCAAAGACAGTTGAATCACCCAGTGATCCCATGTGAGCAGATGCTGGCATACTAGTACAATAAACTGGGGGGCTGTTAGCAAGAGAATGAGGCTGTCTTTCAAGACTGGGAAGAATGGTACTTTCTTGGGTACAGTCCTGTCAAGCTGAGCCATAGCAGAGTGTGACTAGTCCTCTGAGTTGTTAATAGTTTCTTTCAGTGATGGCTATTTGATGACCTGTATCGATCTCCCTTCTGCCACAACTCAGCTAGACATCAAGCTAAGACTCACCAGTCAGGAAAAAAAGCAAACAACAAAGCAAAGGCCCACTCAGTCCCTTACTCTATCACCTTCTACAAAATTTACACACATAAATCAAAATGACAGTGCATTAAGGCAAGATGATGGAAAGGCCTAACTTTAGAAACTGCTTTTTTTAATAGATGCGGGGGGTGATTAGACCATTTTCTGACTTAGCTCTTATGTGAAACTCAATCCAGAACACACCTCACCTTACAACTGGTCTCTGGACATAGCCCACAACTAAGCTATTAACTACTGAGTGTTCTCCAAACTAAGGGCCATAATAAACCATGCCAGGTTTATAGCACTCTTGGTATGTCTTACTTATAGTCCAACATGCCCATTTAAGAAGACATGGATTTTAGTCCTCTTCCAAGTTCAAAGCCTGGATTCACAGGTCTAGAACAGGAAAAAGTAACAATTAACTGTCAAAGTATTTTACTTTTCCCCATGGACAGTATGGTTAGACATCATTTATTACCAAACTACACTGAAAAATATTTTTATTAAGAGCCTACCATGAACAGATACTATTCTTAGCACTGACTTTATAGTATAAACCAAATGTACAAAAATTTCTGTACATTTACAGAGCTTAAGCTCTAGGATCGATAAAGTATTAGGTTGAACCATATGAAATGGCCATTTCTGTAGGTTAGAAAAGGGTCAGAGATTGACAGTTTCCTGTGAGAATATATTATACATTAGTAGTAAATGCTAAGGAGAACTTATAAATCAAGGTGGGGGAAGAATAAGTAGGTAAGAAGTAGGTGGTTGAAATTTTAGATATATTGAACCAGAAGACCACACTGAGTTTTCAGGTTATCCTTAAATAACACTACCTATCTGGAAGTAGAACACTGCTAAGTAGGTAGACTTTTTTTTTTTTTTTTGCACAAGTGCAAAGTCCCATGCAGGCCTGATGTGTTCAAAGAAGGGCCAGATGACCAGTACGGCTGGAGCAGAAAAAGCAAGGAAGGCAGTGGTTGAGTCCAAACAGGTAACACAGAACCTTAAATACCAGGGAGAGAAAACTAGATTTTAGTGAGATAGGAAATTTAGTAGCTTTTTCTCAGTTATTTCACAAGGAAGCAAAAAAGAATTGGGATAATGTTTGTTCCTGACTAAAAAAATGCTTGTTAGGGCCCAGAAGCCGCAGTAGGTCCCAAGAGCAGTAGTCAGAACTTGAGATGGTCTGAATCATGAAACTTGCTGGAATTCCTTTGCTAAGAATCTTTTTCTAAATACCCAGAAATATGACAGATAGGATTTTTATTTTGTTTGCTTATCTGAAGGTCCACTGTAATCTTTCAGACAGACGTATGTCACAGTGACAATTGTGAGGAATCCTGGGAGACGCCCACTAACTAGGGCAGGGTGGACAGTAGGAACTTCCTCACACTGACCCACTGAGAAATCAAATAAGGCAATCTTGTTTGTTTAGACTGCCTGCCCAGAGGGGAGTATGTGATTTTGGCACATATCACACCCACTGAGGCTTGCAGACATACCACAGCACAGTCTTTTTTATTATCCCCCTGCATGGTCTTCCCCATGGGCTTATAAATATTCAAGTTGAGGCTTGGCACCCTCATAAGTCTCTCTGTTCAATTCACAAATTGGCTAGTGGCAGCCATTAGAAAAGGGAACACCTAAGAGCTAAGTAATACTGGAATGAATACTCCTGGTGCGCTGTGAAAGGGAGTCTGATATTAAAACAAGCATTGTATTGTTTACTTTAAACCTGCTTACTAGCCAGAAGGGTCTGAGATAGGCAAATTAGGGTATCTTGTAGCCTATGATGAGCAAGAGTTTGGCACAGGGTAGCAGAGCTGCTATGTGCCAGCAACCTCCATACTTTTTTGCTCACAATCATATTTAAATGCATTAACAAATGAAGTGTGCAATCAATATTTTACTGGAGCAATAATTCAAGTCTGAATACTCTGGTCTTTGAAAGCCTAGGGTCTACAATAGAGCTGGAGAGCAGAGGCTGCACAGCAGAGTGTGCTTCGTGGTTCCCAGGACAGTAACTTAGCACCTACAGGAAACTACGAAAGCCAGTTTGCTAGGGAATAAAGGGGGAAGGAGGGGGAAACCAAGCTTTATCATAGATCTGAGAAATACTGAAGAATTAGCTCAATAATTTTGGATCTCCCCACTTTAGTAAGAGCTATTCAAAGGGAGAATAGTGTAATAAAGGGTACTAAATTATAGCCTGGTTCAAATTACACTTTTCAAAGTATAACCTCAAAAATAAGCTGAAAAATTGCCTGTGCTTATATGTGGGAGGGGTCTGCAAATGCCTTAATCCTCTAGTTTTGTTATTTATGTAGAAAGTACAGACTATTACCTATTTTATGGGTGAGGAATCATACTTTAGACTTTTCTAAGGTCACACAACTCAGACATGGAAGAGCTTGGCTTCAGATCTCTATCTTACACACCAATCTCAGAGTTCTTAATTGGCCCACTTCTTAATTTTAGTGAGTCTTTGCTGTGGTCCATTATCCTGCTGGTTTGTGTTCTAGCCTCACACTAGACTGGGGCGGGGCGTTTCTGCTATGTAATGCCTAGTCTTTGAATTGACTCAAACCAAGATTGCTGGTTCAGGGCCTTCCATATTCCAGAGTATCAAGACATTCTCCATGGCTGCTTATCCTTGAGGGAATTGGTTCATGCTCCTGGCTATTTCTAACAGTATCCCTCTGAGATGCCTCATTCTGCTGCTCCTCTCCAGGTTCACTTGTGTTTCCCAATGCTGGAGCTCATTTTCCTGCACCAAATACTCTGCCCTATGGAGAAATAGAGGGTTGTAGCACTGTAGAAAATAACTCAGAAAACTGTGAATCACCCATTTCAGAGTGTGAGCATATGAGTAGATTCCCTCTACTCTACTCCTGGTACAATAATGGGATTCATTTGAGCAGTAAAGATAATCAGACCCAAAAACATACCCTAGAAGTGAACTGCCATGCTTGCTGAGTAGATGCCCAGTAGGATGACAACAACTATAAAAGTTGTGACCTGTGATTTGAAACACTTTTCCTGATCTTCCTTCAAACCTCATACTACTGCAAATTCAGTCAGGTTCTCTTTTCCAGGAAGTTGCTATACATGATGTGGAAAGTTGCGTGTGATAAATCGAGAGACTTTCAGGAAAGGTAGGAAAAGAGAATTTAGAGCCAAGAATCATTTAGTATACAGTTACTATTACAAGATATGTAAAATCCAGGACTTTTTGAATCTTTTCTAGTGTAGGCACCATTTTCCCGAGAAGTCTGATTCTTCTTCCTGCCATACAAAATAAAATCATCTTGTTTTGTAAGTTAAGATTTGGGGACCCCTCAGTTAGCTGCCTTTGTCTTTTTTTTTTTAAAGATTTGTTTATACAAGCACTGGGTACAGTCAGAAGCGCGGGAGGGTGAGAGAATTCACCAGAACCAGAGCGGGGAGCAGCAGGAGAGGTCTGCGTGCCATGCGGGACCCTCCTCCGGTGGCCGGGGATCAAACCGGCGCTGCAGAGGCTGTGGGCAGCTTCGCAACCCAGTGCTCAACCACTGCGCCACCGGGGAGGCCCTGCCTTTGTCTTTCAGGTTCTAGGCTTCCACAAACAAGGCCTATCTGCTTATACTTCATTTCTAGCCATGGACACAGCTTAAAACCCACCAAAGATGGCAGTAAAAAATAACTCAATTATACAGTAAGCAGTAAAGCCAGAATAAACAGAAAACTGGATGTTTTAGTATGATAAGGTGGTGCAATAAGCAAGATGAAAAAAGCTTTACTGTCTAGTCAAGGCCAAATTCACTTAAAAGCATTCAGACTAAAAATTCTTAGGAAATTTGTTTTCAACTGTGCGTGTAAACATAAAAATCACCATCCCAAATATGCAGTTGGATATTGATGTTAAGACTTGGTCTGTAAGGTCAAATGGCAAATATTGCAGGCCATATTACTAACTCCGCTGTTCTAGCACAAAAGCAGCCATAGGCAGTTCCATAAATGAATGGACATGGCTATAATTCAGTAAAACTATTTCCAAAAGCAAGACTACACGTAGCTTATGGGCCTTAATTTGCCAACCTCTGCCATACAGGAAATGCTCATTGCAGTAAGAAGCCAATGGTAAGAACTAGTACCAAGTTAATTTGCTTTTCTAGAAATTAGTGGGTCCATGTTCCCAACATTTACAAAAGCTAAAAAAAAAAGTCTAATAGTTTTTCTTGGTCAGATTAGTTGCATAAAACAAATACCTAACACCAGTTACTGCAGAAAGGATGGGACATCTCAAAGCAGGCAAAATCAAGTAACGATCACAACAGATCTGTACTCACTATACACTGTAGAGCCATGGGGGTTTTTCACCTGTTTCTCTTCTGTCCTGCAGGTCTGTTCCTTATTCTTGGTTTGATACTCTACCCTGCTGGCTGGGGCTGCCAGAAAGCTGTTAACTACTGCGGACCCTATGCATCGGCCTACAAGCCTGGAGACTGCTCCTTAGGCTGGGCCTTTTATACTGCCATCGGTGGTACAGTCCTTACCTTCATCTGCGCTGTCTTCTCTGCACAAGCTGAAATTGCAACTTCCAGTGACAAAGTACAGGAAGAAATTGAAGAAGGGAAAAACCTTATCTGTCTACTTTAGTTTGGAAACATTTCACCTCCAGTTTCCTCATTTGAGTCAAGTGGAGAACTAGCTTTTATCTACCAAAGCCAAATTCCACAGCCCTGAGCCTTAGCAAGACCATGGTAAGGCAACTTCCAAGTAGGCAAAATTACTGCACCTGAGAGCCACCATGCAAATCATGAAGTGGAACATGAAAGACTTGCAGGCTGTTTGAGATGAGTGCAAACCTATGAGCATTTGTGCCTCAGAGTGAGACTTGGGGATTGGTGGTTGAGACAACAAAAAAACAATGTATTTTCTGTGGACAGAATACTGCCTCTCGCTCAGATGAAGAAAGGGGTCAGTAGGAAGGACACTGTGGAATCTATACTAGGCTGAAGTCCTGGGTAAGGTGGATCAACTGAACTGTTACTCCCAAGAGTTTTAAAAAAAAGACCTGTATGACCACAAAATCCTGCTAGTGAAGACAAATTCATTCCAATTTCCAGAAACCATCCCAATACTGGCCCAGTCTCCACTTCCACCAGAGTTCACAATATCGTTTTTCTCCATGGGTTAGGATTATGCTCTGACTGCCTAAGAAAAACCTCACTGTGCCCCCCCCCCGCCCCCATCCAGAAACAGACATCTCCGAGCCAACTATGTCACTCATACAGATACTCACTGGGAGAGCTTTACCAGCTGTTTGCGAACAATGCTGTAGTCAGCTGTATTTCCAACCCATAGAGCAAGAGAATGGGATTCATTCTTTGCAGAAGAAAAAGGAGCTAATCACAGGAGTTAAATTTTTTTTTTTTTCCAGGATCTAGTGTTGATCCTGAAATCAGCCTAAAAGAACATTAAATTGTTGCAAGTAGTGAGTTTCATTCCCAGAAAAGCAGAGAAAGTTAATGCAAAGGGGGAAAAATATAGAGCTTGATCAAGCCTCTTGCACCTGCCTATACCTGTTTACAAAAAAACTGAACACCACTATTAAAAAGGATTCAGGGGCTCTTAATCTGGTTTTCATAGATTACCAATATTAATGACTCAAGAAAATGGTATTGGCCATTACCTCAATTTACTTGAGAATGATCCACGTAGCAAGAAAGAATATAGCCTGGCATTACCCCAAGCTTCAGAATTACAATATGATATAGAAACTCCTTAGCAATGCCTTGCTTTGTTTTGAAAATTACAAGTAATCACTAAGCACACAGTACCATGCCCAAGGTATACAAAAAGAACCTTGACAGACTTTACAACCTTACCCAATTTAATCATCTTAAAGCCATGTGAGTCTAAAACCATACGTTAGTGCAGAGTAAATGCTTTACATACAGATGGAACAAAACTTGAGAGTTTCATATCGACCTTTGGCCTCTGACAAAAACCATCTTATCTCAGATTTAACAGCTAGGGGTAGAAATGTGGAACCAAGCTATGATACACTCACCATTCGTGAACCAAAGTTCAGAATGAGCAAGATGTTAAATCCTATGATGTTTTTGGTAAAGGGAAGGGGTAAGTAGATATCCTCATACCAGCTTACAATAAGCACTCAGAAGGAACATTAAGCCTTTCTCTGATACCATACAGCAACAGACTATGGCAGCCACTGTCCCCAACTGTGCATTTATATGCTCTAAGCAGGTCCCAGTGCCATCAGAGTAACTACTTTTCGAACATTGTAACTTTCATTAAAAATTCTTGTCCACAAATCTTGATAAAAATATTTTAAATTTAGAGATGTCGTTTTCTAATGCTAATTTTCCATTCTTACTGTCCTTATAGCCAAGTTAAAATTATATGCTCAGAGAATCCTCTAAGCAATTCCATCACCTGTACTGGCTGGCTGATATTTGTGGCCAAGGTGCTGGCATATCCTTACATTACCCTGATAATGGTCACAAGTGAAAACGTGGCCTACCTTGACCAGAAGACAGTCATTTGACAGCGTTTACTCTTTAGGAATCTGGATGCTTCAGAAGAGAAAAGTACATGCATACACACAAAACCACAATTGAAAATTAGACACTAAATAAACAGAGCATCTCTAGCAGAGACAGAGTAAAAACATAATGTTGGACCTTTTAAACCTTGGGTCCATAGCCAGACTTTGGTAGAGATGAATGGAACATCCAAAATCTATTTAGTGTAGATCAAAACAGCACAACTGTTTAAAAACCACTGAATATGTGGTAGAAAGAAAATGCTTAAGATAATTAGACATTTATTATTGACATACACCTATTTTTCTAATAAAATTCTATCACTTATCACCTCAGTCTAAAAGTCTAATATACCTGAATAATAATTAGTACCAGAAAAGATTTTTGCCTGCATTTGTGCTTAAAGTTTCATGATTGGCTGGGCATCTCAAACTACAAGGAGGCAGAATTACTTACTTGCCTTTGATTCTGTGGATTCTTTAAACCTGTGTGCTAACTCAACAATGTTATGTTAATTATAAGGGTTTTTGTATAGTTTTGAAACATCTGTGGTGTAATGATCTTTGTTAAACATTTATTCTGTAAAGTGCCATAGTCTTTTTTTATGTGTAGCATATTTAAAAATTTATATATGTATATTATACATACACAAGTCTGTGTGAGAGATGTGCAATAACAAAGGTGTATGTATGTTTTGTTTTTGGAAACTGGACAGGAGTCAGAACAGTTCTGTTTTGGCAAAGGAGAGTTACACAGTTCTGCCTTCATGGCCTAGTCATTAACCCATAACAAGTTTAATGCTACACAAACTGATGTGAAGAAAAGACTGGTACAAAATCATTTTTTTTCCTGGGTCTAAATGATTAGATTTATGTGAAAGCTTAAGCCAGCAAGTCAGGCCCAGTTAATGCTAGTCTTTCATGTAAAATGTGAAGCTGCCATATTGCCTTTTCTGTTAGTGTGATAACTCGTAGCTGGTACATAATCACTAAGGAGCTATTTCTTAACATGCCTAATAAACCATGTTAATGCTAGACCACTATTTAAGGGCTAATCTCACAACTTCTTAGCCGTGTGTGTCTGACTTAGAACAGACTTCTCTGTGCAATAACATGTGGCCAATAATGAAATCCCTGGCCTGCATTTTGCACTTGGGCAGCAATGACTCCCAAGAGCTAAAAGAATTAAAGGCACGACTGGGATTTATCCCTCTGAGACTGTGGTGAAACTCCTAAGGTTGGGGGTCATTAGGTGCTTTGGAGGAACGCAGCACCACTTGATATTCAACAGCCACTTGAGCCAAACAAAGTTGTATTTGCCACTAATGGACTCAACTTGAGCCTTCAAATGTGTGGTTATCCTATTATGTTGTAAACTAATACATTGTTTGTCTAGCATTGATTAGGTTCTGTGCATATGTATTTTCACTATGTGCTCCCTTTTCCTCTCCCCAGATCTGAATAAAACCAGATTTTGCAAACTTATCTTGATTTTTCCAAGTCTGAGTTATAGATTTCAATATAATGTATATAATAATTTGATCAAGATAATACCTACCAAATTTTACTTGTAACATTTATATGTAATATTGATGACAGGAAAGAAAGTATTCAGATATTTTAAACTAACCTACTCATTAGTGTCATATCCATCCCTACTTTAAGTTAGCTTTTGCTTCAAAATAACTGTATTTTTTCCTTGGAGAAGCATCATACAATAACTGGGGTACAGGTCAGAGGCGCGGGAGGGTGAGAGAATGCACCAGAGACAGAACGGGAGCAGAATAGGCAGACGGACCGAAGACACTGCTGAGGGGAGCAGCGGGCCAGACAGGAGAGGTCTGCCGTACCATGTGGGTTTCTCCCTGGCTGGCCAGGAATTAAAGCTGCACTGCAGAGGCTGCGGACAGCTTCACAGCGTGGCGCTCAACCCGCTGCGCCAGCAGGGGAGGCCCTTTCTCATAAACTCTCATCTTCATATCCCATTAAGTACTTATCTGATCCAATACACAAGAATGGCTATTTCTTCTGATCTAGAGCCTGTGACAGCTGAAAATACATTTATGCTTTAGTTTCTAAACATTTCCTGGATAACTGCCAGGTCTCTAATAGAAAATTAAAAGCTGATGCAAGTATCGAATCACTTAAGAAAAAGTTTTCAAAACAAATTATGGTCTGAATAATTCAACCAAAGTTGGAAAATTTCAGTTACCTTTCTCAAATGTTGATCACAGAATAAAAGGATCTTGGCTTTAAATTTCAGCAGAGGCTATGAAACTCTGATGTGTGCTTCCCATTTCATCCTTAGTTTTTCTTAGCTATTTTGTTACTGGATCAATTTTCTATGAGTGATCTTCCTGAAACACACTGCATTCAACATATTCCTACCTATCCTTAAAGTCTGCTTACTACAAAACCCAGTCTTGACTATCCAGGACATTTCTTTTAGGTGGTTTATTTCAGTAGTTTCTGAAAATTCAGCATTTTTTTTTCAACTTAGACACTAAAGGATAAGGGTATCAAAGCAAACTTGTAGCCTACTCTTCAAAGCTGCAAAAACCAGTAATTGTCTATTCCATAGCCCCTCTCAGCTGCTTAGTCATTTGGGGGGAGCCATTCTACTGCTGCCCTGCTACTATCTTCCATTGCAGTTTCCTCCTCACCCTGAAAGAGTTCTGCAAATTAAGTCTAAGACTCAAACTGCTCATTTTGATTAGGTATACAGGATGTAGATAAAAGCATAAATAAGTAAAGAGGAAGTAGTAAAACCAAATGGGAAAGAAAACGCAATCAAATGACTACATATTAGCAGCTCTTTGGCTTTTATAGCCAAACATCCAAAATAATCTAACACCTACAGAGAAGCAGCCGCAGTATATTTGGGAGAAACCACTATAATCTATTCTCAAGACAAGAAAAATCTGAATAAAGGCAGTGAGAGTGAAAACAATCAATACAACGAATCAGAGATACGTGGAGAGAAAGAATGGACAGCTTGGTGATCAGAAATGTCCAGGATGCCTCCAAAATATTTAGTTTGGGCACTGGGTAGGAGATTATGCCAGCAAGAGGGGGAGAGACAGTGAAAGCAGATGCCAATGGAGAAGTCCAGTGTACAGCTAGGAATATACATGGAGAAAAGACTAGGTTGAAGAGAGACACAGGAATCATCATTACATTTGACCAGTTTATAATTATTGTGCCTTTCTATGTGCAGGTACTGTGCTAAGCACTTCATATAATTCACTTAATCATCAAATTCCTTTGAGTGGAAACTATTATTCTCATTTATAGATAAGTTAACTTCTACTTACCTGAGTTTAAGTAATGTGCCCTGGGTTAAAAAGCTAGTAAGTGGTAAAACCAAATGTCAAATACAGGTTTAACACTAAAGTCAACATTCTCAAGGAGCTATATACTCTTTCCTTCTGCCTAGAATGTATAGGGTGAAAAGAAAGTTAGTACACACCCATGGGGAATACTGACATCTTTGCACAATAAATTTTTAAGATAACTTCTAAGTACAACTTACAGAATAAGATGACAGCTAATGAGAATACTGCTCTTCCCTTCAGAGAAAAACCTGGTAATTTCTCATACTTTTGAAGATAACACCATATGTCCCAATTTGCTCAATCCTGAAAACATACTACAAGTTTATTAGGTATATAGCCATGATAAAACAAATGATAATTTGACAATTTGTACTATTTTAATATAATCTCTCATCCAGGGTAAGCAGCTATTCTAATTACAAACAATGTATATTTCTTCATAAGTAAAACTGTCTTCAACCTAAGTTTCTCCAAATACACACAAATGAAAAAGAACATTTAATATGTTATTGCTGCTGAACAGCAGGCAGCAGGTACTCACCCACTTGTGGTAGAGGCAGGCCTTGAAATGGAGATTTCAAAAATATAGGCAGTCTTTTTTTTCTTGGCCATTGATATTTTTACCTAGTATCCACTGTCTCTAAAGGATGGATATGAATTACTAGAAACACGAAAGGATGAAAAGGAAACAGAATTGGAGGGAGGGATCACTAAGTGGCAGAAGCAGCCCCATACTTGGCAGGAATCAAGCTATTCCAGCCACCCCTCCCCAACCCTTCACTACCATTCACTGTGGCTGGGGTAATTTCCCAGTTCTCTATAATATGGGGCAACTAATAGAAATCGTAACATAGATGTGATGTGAGGATTAAATGCTATATGTAAAGCATTTAGTATTTAGTTTCTGGTATATAATACTCTATAGAGTATTAAAAAAGAATCTTCTGTGCCTAGAGTAACATCAGTTAGACATGAGCTTAAAAATTAGGAGTTTTAACTAACTGTCAAGAGTAACTAAACCTGTTGTCAAAGAGGCTCGATGGATGGGCTACCTGACATCACCATTTCTTTTTCTATGTCCTTCATCCTACTTCTCTCTGCAGATCTACTTCACTCTTCATTCTCATTGCAGACCAGATTTCTTCATGGCTCCTTCCTCAGGACTTCCTCCTCGTGGCAGACAAAATGACTACCCCATATATTCCAATTCTGAAACAATACCACTGTAAACAAATCTACGTTCAGAATTAAAGTTTAATGCCCCAAGCATGAGTCCACGATGGTAGGATGACATTCAGTACCAACGTGGTGTGTTCAGGGCCCAAAGAAATGGGGCTCGTGGGACATAAACATTCCTAAGAGATCTATTGCAAGCATGTAGAGAACATCTGATTTTTTTTAATTTTAGGAAAAAAGTTGTCTTCCTAGAAAAATTATTAAAAACAAAAATTTAATAGTAATTTATGGTCTTAAATTATGAGCAACTTTAATAATCTTGCTGATAAATATTTTCTATAATTTTTATTGACATTTTTATAAATTAAGGAAGTAAATTTTTTTTCATTTTACAAAGTAAACTATCAGGCATTCTATGTGAAGGAAAAACAACTAAGTGAACTCACATTTTCCTTAACCCTATAAAATATGTGTGCATAGAAGAACAGTAGAAAATACAATAAAACATTATAACTGGTATCCCTAGATAATAGAATTAAAGATTATTTTTATTTTTCTCACTTATTTCCAGTTTTTAATTGTTCTGCAACAGCTATATATTACTTTCATACTAGAAAAAAATTTAGTTTGAGAGATGTGTATGTCCACTGGGCTCAGTTTTCTTTAGGAGACCAGCAGTTGTACAAACCACTATGATCACTAGGTAAGTGACAGTGATATTTGGCAGTCTTTGTTCTAGCACCAAAACACCTGAAGAATACTATACACTGTCAGCGGTAACAACTACTCCACAACCATGAGTTATCTTGGAAATCATTAACCTGAAAATATTAAAGGAGTATAAGAGTAATTCTAGGACTACATCTATAGGCTAAAAACAACTGAAGGGTCAGAAAATAAAACTTGGGCAATATAATTCTACAAATTCAACTTATTTAAATGTAGACAAGATAACAGAATAATCCTATACAACATAAGAAACACCAGGTAGACAGGATTAACTCTTCTCTGTCCCTATAAAAGATGACATGAGTATTAATAACAAGAGGGTTTTAGCTACCCCATCAGCCAAGCCATGCCCGGAAGGAACGAACTGAAAATCTATCAAGATTTAGATAAATATAAAATGTAACACTCACTGGGTTGCTACTTGGTGGCGCCCATATTCCTTGCTATTTGAAAAAAACGAACATTGCTAATGAGAATTCTGTAAGATGAGGGCTTTGTCTTACCAAAACCATAAACTTGAATTGTAAGTAAGAAATCCACGGGAAAGTTAACAGCAGGAAAAAGTTTCTCCATATTTTCCTAGAATCTTCAAAACAAAATAGCTCCATCTATCTAGGATGGATTCATGCCAAGGCCTGGTATAGAAAATGCCTATAGATTTCCTTCTAGCATTTTATGTCCTGTAATAAAGTTATAACATGAGGGCTAAAAATACCCATTCAAATGCCTGCAGTTTTATAAGATGTACCCTAAAATTCTAAACATTTCACTTTCCATAATATATGACAATTCACATACAACTTTTCAAGTATTTAAAGTGACTGTAGCATTTTAAAGTATTCTACTCTGAATAAATTTATACTATAGTACTTGAAAATGCTATCAAAGAAGGAATTTTTTATTTTTTAACCATCTCAATCTGTTTAACATTAACCTCTTTTATTTCACCTCTAAGGTCTTAATCACACAGAATCAACAAATTCCTCTATAAACATTTTTCTTAAGGAAACAATGGAAAGAGATTCAGTGAAATGGCATATGACAGGCACAGTAATATTAACCTATAAGCACAAAAAATGAAAACAGTATGTCTAATCAACAGTCTAAACATAGATTTTACCAATGAAGACATAAAATTATATGCTAATGTCAGTGTTTTCAGAAAAAATACTGCAACAACTGAAAACCTTATGCTATTGCAAATGATTACAGAAAACAGATATAAACTTAACATAAATCCATTCTAAAACGGAAATCATACATTATCGTGAATAATTTACAGAATAAAATACGTCCAATGAAAATCCAAACTCAATTTTTTCAGTTAATACCCAGAAAATAAAAAACACTGCTTCCATTTTAACATGTATTCCTCAAAAATAAGATTCACCATGAACAATATTTTAAGTTAAACTTCAAATCTTCTTTAGATAACCAACAATACACAAGGAAGTACTTTCATCAGCACATGAAACTGCAACAGGTAGTGAGGTTAGGAAACAGTAGGAGTTCAATCAAACCAATTCAATGCAATACCAGTTCAGAGGCATCCATTTGAATTCATAGGAAATATCTGAATCACAAAATCCAAGTTTTTCATTTTTAATCTAACTTCCAGATAGTCTGTGTGGTTGGACCTTAAAGTGGTTAACATATTCAATGAGTTAGAACCTCATGTTCCTTTAATTACAAAAAAGAAAAGGTCTAATGCAACAGAATTATTCTCATTTTATGTTGCTGAAAGCTTTTAACTAAGCTGTTTATATTTGGCACATGATTAAATTATACAGATTATTTTAAAAAAATCGAATGTGGTATTTCTACATACATTAAACTCTCAGCAAAATTTCTGCCTCTGAAGTACCAATACAGTGTTTAAAATTATACAAACAAACATCCATTAAAGAGCATTTTATTTTATGACACTCTGTTAATACAATAAATATACAAAACTTTCAAACCACTGAAAACATGCAACATTAGCGGGACAGATGGAGGGCATTTATATAGTACCAAGACAGTCACCATGACAGCAGCGCAATATTGACAAAATATACAAACTTTGCTAGATAAATAATCCAAGACCCAAATTACAAATCACTAAGCAATGATTTTCCAGTGTTCAAACTGCATTAAAATGTCCACATTTTAACATTGCAAACTGAAAAGTGACATGAATGCCAACAATGTGAAAACCACCTTATGGCTGTGATACTGGGTAATTTTACTATTTAAAAAAAAAAAAAAAGGAACATGCCAATTTTTTGCTGAGAAAAAATGTGACTATTTACTGATTATTGTTATTAGAGAAGTAAAGATAATCAAACTGTAAGCACTGCCATTGTTTTAATGCATCTGTTTTTTAAAAAGCATTATTTTGTAGTTAATACCCAGAAAATAAAACTCTCATAAACTTGTATTAACCCAAATAACTGCATTTTAAAACATTTCCCCATCGACATATGCAAAGGTATCACAGGTGAAATTATTCTTTGCTATTTAACAATGCTACCTTTCTATAAGTAAAAGGAAATGATCTTATTAGAAAGAAAAATATTTCAGTATTTTTTAACTCTCTGATAGGTATTTTATTTGTAGTTTAGAGAAAAAAAGACAAGAAATAAATTAATGGTGGGCATGTAATTATTTTTGTACTTTGTGGTAAATGTTCTGAATATCTGTAAAATCTACACTCAGTAAAGCACAATGATCAACAGACTTTCAGTAAGATTATAGACTCTGTAAAACATGAACTGTCTTAATTGCTTGAGGAAGTAAGTGGATCTTATCATGGACCAGAAATAGTCATAAAAAGTTTTAAATTCATACTCTGGATCCTATTTTCTTCAGAATATAAAAAAAGAAATATCTTCCAAGTAAGTATCTTCCAAATATCTTTCAATATCTTCCAAATATCTTACCTCAATAAAGTACCAAATAAATCAAATGTAAACACCATCAGGATGGATCTACATTACCTAGTATCACATAAAGCTTCATTCAAAATAGTGAAGAGTCACCATATCACCCCTAGCACTTAAACTCTTGATTTAAGAAGAATGACAGTGATTTTAACCATTTATGCCCATCTGATTTTTTTAAGGATTTGAGTTTCAAATAATGTATTGCAACAGACTATCCCTTTTTAAAATCAAATTGAATAAATCACTACCTATCTGCAATCTTAAATGAGATAAATACTCCCAAAACACAGTAGCATGACTTTACAAAAGTCTTTCATTATTTTAGTTAGTATTAAAAATGATTCAAAGTTTCAACCCAAATACACTTATAAGAATGAATTCCTGTGCTACATAGTAACAAATTCAATGTATAACGAAAATGAGGTGAGTGCATTCAACTCTATTTGTATTTTCTTGTTTGGTTCAAGTTAAATGTTTTATTTTGCTACTGCTGAAAAATTTTAATGTATTCAGTCTGTCTTAAAAATTGAAAGACTGAGATGCATTAGGGATTCAAGTTATGTCAAATGCCAGAGTCTATTTTTAATGCCACTAAAGATGAGAGATAAAGAAAAATCCCTTAAACACTGTATGTTCTTTTTGGAGAAGGAGTTAGGCTAAACTTTAATACCTCTGTTAAAAATTACATACACTCTAATAAAAGAGCTGCCAAACACAATCTCAATTCAATTAAAAAGAGTAGCCACAAGAATATACCAAAGTTTCCATACAGTAACATTTTACTATGATGTGAATACTGAAAAATTAAAAAACAGGTATCATCACTACATTCTATTCCATTGATTTACTACTTTTTCTTTTGGATAATGCACTGCATATTACATTCTATTGTAACCCAATAAAATTTTATTTGAAAGTAACTATTACAGAAAATCATTTCTAGGATTCTATAAACAACTCCCCAATACTACATCTATAAGCAGTGCAGAACCCAAAATACTAATTTTAAGAAACGTGCAAGATCAGAGATTGATATCAAAATATCAACCACTCTAAAAAGAAAATAGAAAGAAGATAAAATTTACATTATCTACTACGAAATGCACACAGGTTTCACTGGTGACTGAACTGCTAAAAAGCGAGCCAATTTAAAAATCTGTAAGTCTCTGATAGCCTATTTCTTTCAGTATAAATAGGGAAAAAGGAATGAAGCATCATGTTACTGCTCCCACGTGTAACCCTTAAGTCTAATATTCTTGAAAGAATGACTGCAGCTAGTACTAAAAGCATTTTTAATCGTAAGTACCATATGAATATCAGTGTACCAACACTGAAATAATCTGATAAACAATCATCCCCCAAAAAATATGGAGAATATTTATTTAGCATGTAATTTTTTTTCTGCAAGGGGCACTGAAATATTAAGAAACTGTTAGGTAAATAAGACAAGGAATTTTTTTCTGGTTTTAGCCCATGCACAAGTGAATAGGAAATATACATGCTGTGTGTATTGTGTGTTTTGAACATAAAAATATTTATAGAATACAGTAACTGGAGAGAAACATATAGTCAAAAGGTAACAGTGTATTACTTGAAGATTTTCTAAATTTGGTTACCCTTGAAAGCATTCTGAGCTGCACTAGTTGCTGCAGTTGAAGCTGCATTTGCAGCTGCAGTCTGGACAGTTTTGTTTGACATCACACCTGTTGCAAACTCTTGTTGGGCCTTCTCAAAACTAGCACCTGTTGTGCGATATAGTCCATGTACCTAAGGGGACATAAGAGAGTTGAAGAAGGTAAGTGGCAATCTATACATTCATTTCCAGCAGCTCTTCAATTAATCTCAACACTCCAACATTACTGAAATAAAAGGACTATTCCTAGTAATTCTAAGATCAAGAACATTAGCCACCATACTAGCACACAATATTGTATTTAAATATTATAAAACAGGTTTTTCCTTTTTATTTCCAGTTGAGAAGACATAATTATACCTATGTCAAACCAAAAATCATTTATTTTTTTTAAAGATTTATTTATTTATTTATTTATACAAGCGCTGAGTACAGTCAGAAGCACGGGAGGGTGAGAGGATTCACGAGAGCCAGAGCGGGGAATAGAACAGGCCGACCAACGAAACACACCGCTAAGGGGAGCAGTGGGCACGGCAGGAGAGGTCTGTCATGCCATGTGGGACCCTCGCTGGTGGCCGGGGATTGAACTGGCACTGCAGAGGCTGCGGGCAGCTTTGCAGCCCAGTGCTCAACTGCTGTGCCACCAGGGGAAGACCAAACCAAAAATAATTTAAAGACCATCACTTAACCAACTACAAAAAGCTAAATTTTCCTCTGTACCTAACTGGTTAATTAGGATATTTCAGCATTATAAAAGGAATGCTATAAACCTAAAAACAGACAATCTGACTTTAATACATTAATTTACTAACCTAGGTAATTCAAAGAGAATAATACCCTATTATCTATGTTTGCTATATATAAGCCAAGGACCCTATTATAATCGGTATCATTTATTATATCAAGCACTATGTCCTTAAACATACTTCTGCTATCCACTCTTCATATCATTTAATTTTTTGTATATGGTCAACTCCTAAAGAATTTATGAAGAAACACTTATGGGATTTTCTCTCTGTACAAATTAATTACTCAAATTTTGTGACTTTTTTTTAAACAAGCAGGACTCAAAAAAACCTCTTCTATTAGCTTACAATTTAAGATGCACAAACTATGGAGCCATCAATACATAACATCAGTCACTCAATTTAATAAAAATTTGAGGAAAAAAATAACAAATTAGGACAAATTTTTATTCTATGTCTACAAACTCAGGAGGAGAGAGGAAGAGACAGAAAAGCATACTTTTAATTCCACTGCAATGTGGTTAGGTCTAAATTAGAATACTGATTGCAATGTAATCAAAGTGGCTTGAGGATGAGAAGCAGTGCACACAAGTCAATCCTTTTCTCAAACCTGGATAGGAAATGGTAATTGTGGAGTAATGAAAAGTAGGATGAGTCAGATTCTCAAGTCAAACGTTGATACTAGGAAATCATTTCAAAAAGATGGAATAGATTGGTTTAGGAGGAAGGGAAATGAATGAGTTAAAATCTAAACATTCATCTATAATTGTTCACTGAATCTCTACTCTTGGCAAGCAGATGAATATTTGGCTTAGAGCTCAATAGAAGAATAAGCTAGAGACATGAACTTGGAAACCACTGGCAGATAAATGGAGCTAATATGCCGACATAAATAAACTATCCTTGGAGAACACAAAGTAGAAAGAGTAGAAAGCCAAGGACCAAAGCCTATTAAGACACCAATACTTAAGAGTTACCCAGAAGCAAGGAATAACTAGGAGAGAAATAGGAAAATCCAAAAACCAGAGATGCCAAAGAAATAAAATTTGTTAAGGAATAAAGAGCTGCCATGGTAAAAGATAAAAATACCAAGACAGGGAAAGGAAATGTCATATAACCATGGATCAAGTGTGAAATGCTTAGGGAGAAAAGGAGTACTGATAAATACGTATACTAGTAAGCCCTAAAATTCTTTTTTCTTCGCTCCATAGCACTATGAAACTACTGAAGTATTGTATTCTTTAATAGTTTTTTTCCTATAGAAAATTAGAAATACAGAAAAATCACTACTCTTATTTTCAAGAAATTTATCTCACAATGAGCACACATGATTAGAGCCTTAAAAATGAAGAATATAGAAATCTAACACACATTCTTTATATACGAAATCCACTCACATTGCAATGTGTGCACAGGTTCACTTGTCTGGATTTTTGACCCCTTTCCTTTAAGTTACATTTGTTCTAGTAAGTTACATTTGTTCTAATTTGCTGTTATTTTTTTAAATTTTGTATTAAATTGACTGCTCATGCTATGTACTCATGGGCTTCCTAGTCTAATTACTTAAAATGTAATTCATAGCCCCACAGAGCAAAGAGGTAAAAAGGTAGAAACAGCACACATTCCTCAACAGTCTGCATCTATATATAGACCCAGAGAGCCACCTAGAGGGAAAAGAGTACAAATGTATTCAGTGGGCAATGCTGAAATACTGTATTAAATCCATTATATACATATGAAAAGTACAATTTCTTTCTTTGGTGTACCAGCAAAATGACAGGTTAATTACAGGGATCAACATCTCCAAATTATTATCATTCCCCTACTATGTTCAAGAGTAGTATCCTGGTTAATGTCAATTCCTTATGAAATCATGGGATTTCGTTTCAAGATAATAGAACTTTAAAAAATAAAATACTAGCTACCTCTTCTACTTATGTGGATTGCATTAACCTAAATACTTAGTTCTAGCAGTATCATATAAAGGTCACTAGATTTGCTATCTACTGAGTCTACTACTTTCTAGCTGGCTGACCCCCACTTAAAACCTCAAAGCTATCTCCCATAAAACATGTGTTGTCCTATCTACCTGTCAGATAGAATGAGAATTATGTAAATGTGTTAGACTAGCAAAACTTTTAATTTTTAAATATTTGCTGAAGTGTCACTGCCAGAATATAGATATAACTCTAGAAAGGAATTCCTACTTCCTTCATGTATCTTCAAAAATGTCTCAGTTTACACTGTGGTGGTATGTGACACACAAAAAAGTATATACTGTGGAAAGTAAATAACTATGGTACTTTATTAAAATGAAGAATCCAAACATATGTTTCTGTTTAAGTTTGTAGAATACCGTATTTCAAGAAATCATACTTTCATTAACGTAAGATCCCTATCATACCAAAGTTACTTTAACCATTTATAAAAGCTGGGAATGTAAAAACAAATGAGTTTAATATAAATTTTTATTATTACTTTGACTTTTAAAAAAGCATGGGTCAGGCCTCCCCGGTGGCGCAGCGGTTGAGCACTGGGTTGCGAAGCTGCCCGCAGCCTCTGTAACACCGGTTCAATCCCCGGCTGTTCCCCAGCCACCGGAGGAGGGTCCCACAAGGCACGCAGACCTCTCCTGCCACCCGCTGCTCCCCTCAGCAGTGTACTTCGGTCCTTCTGCCTGCTCTGCTCCCCGCTCTGGTGAATTCTCTCACCCTTCCACGCTTCTGACTGTACCCAGTGATTGTATTTAAAAAAAAAAAAAAAAGGCATGGGTCTCTAAGCTTAATTTTTTTCAATTGACAATTCCTAGAAGCCCTCTATAAACCCACAGAAGTGGGTGAGACCCTCTGTAACCCACTGATTACCACTCTACTTCCACATTATTAAAATCTCACTCATCCTTACAGTTCTATATCAAATACTGCCCTATCATCTTTCTGCCTAAACATCTTTTCCCCTGTTTGGAGCACCTGCAATACTTTATATATCTTTTAGGGAATGTATATTGTGCTGCTGCTTTTATAGGGTTTACCTACATGTCTCAGACACATGCTTTTAGTCCCTTGAAGGCAAGAGCTAATTTCTACTCACTGTTACACCTCTAAAAGACACAGCATAGTAACTTGTAGAAGCCACCAAATAATTGCTTATTTTTTATTTGCTAGGGATTAACAAATGGTCCAAAAGTATCCTCATTGTCAAAAAAAAGTGTAAGTACAATATTGTTCATATTAGAATGTACCTGTATTACAAAGTAATATACTTAGTTTACAATTCCCTCAGAGGATATATGTTTTCAAAATGAACATGCTATTTCACATCTACTAGGATGGATGTTTCTAATCAGAAAAATGGAAAATAACTAGTGATGGCAAGGGTGTGAAGAAATTAGAACCCTCATACATTGCGAGTGGGCACAATATTGCTGATAGCAAAATACTGGTGGTTCTTAAAAAACTAAACATAGACTTACCATATCATCACCTAGCAATAATATTCCTAGGTATATGCCCAAAAGAATTGATAGTAGAGAGACAACAGATTTTTATATGCCAACATTATAGCAGCATTATTCACACTATCCAAAGTGGAAAAAAAAAAACCAATTTTCCATTAACAGATTATAGTTTTTTTGTTTTTTAATTAATTTATTTATTTATTTATTTATACAAGCACTGGGTACAGTCAGAAGCATGGGAGGGTGAGAGAATTCACCAGAGCCAGAGCGGGGAGCAGAGCAGGCAGAGGGACGAAGTACACTGCTGAGTGGAGCAGCGGGCGGCAGGAGAGGTCTGCGCGCCATGTGGGATCCTCCTCCGGTGGCCGGGGAGCAGCCGGGGATCGAACCAGCGCTGCAGAGGCTGCGGGCAGCTTCGCAACCCAGCGCTCAACCGCTGCGCCACCGGGGAGGCCCTCCATCAACAGATTAATAACAATGTAGTATATACATATAGTCGAATATGATTCAGTTATAAAGAAGAATGAAATTCTGACATATGCTACAACATGGATGAATCTTGAAAACATTATGTGAGGTGAGTTAAGCCAGACACAAAAGAAAAATATTTATGATTTCACAATCTACAATAAAAAATTTCACTGAGTGAAAAATAGATCTCAGGCTATGGGAGTAGGGGGAGAGTTATTGCTTAATGACTGCAGAGTTTCTGTTAGGGATAATGAAAAAGGTTGGGAAATAGTGGTGATGGCTATCCAACTTGAATGCAATTAATGCCACTGAAATGTAAACTTAAAAATTACTTAAATGGCAAATTTTGTGTTATATATATTGCCAAATTTATTTAAAATTAATAATGTAAGATACAAAAACCAGTGAACTGTATATTTTAAATATATGACATGATTCTAACTCAATAAAGCCATTAAAAATATGATTCACTAAACACCTCATGCATTAATATATTTACCTATTTTAACTACTATTCAAATTTTAATTGACACTTATTAAAAGTCTGAGTTGTCAGGTTCTTTGTTAGGAGTTTGAAATTAGAAATAGGCCAAATCTTCAGAAAAGTTGGACAAGTGTTTGTTTTTTTTACCTTCACTCATACATTGCAGAGATAAGTGTACATGTCCTCTCTTTCTTATTCTTTCATTTTCAAATGACATAATGGGTTTGAATGTATTCATTCCATATAGATCACTGTATAGTCCAGTAAACTGTCATTTGACTGTCTTGATAGATTGCCCATAACAGTGCCAATGACATGTACCCTTGTTGCAGGCAGAGATGATAGGCAATACATGTCTTTGTGGGGTTCTCTCTTTAAACCACTTTATTTGTGGCATGATTTGTATGCTAATGCTGTACATATTTAATATATACAACTTGTGTGTTATGAGAAAACTAAACACTTAAGAAACCATCACTGTAATTAAGGCCATAAACTTATCCATTGTCAACTCTCAAAAAAAAATATAGATGATTCAGATGAAACTATGTACAATATTATAAATATATAAAATAATTCAAATTTATCATTTAAAGATGTCTAGGTTAAGAAAATTTACAGTAATTTAGTTCTATCAACACAGGCTTGGGATCTACTAAGTAGGTAGCTTAGTACTATCAGAAACAGATAAAATAAAATTGGGAGCAGAAACAAATTAAAGCAAAAAATAAGGGGTGAACAATAATATTTTCAAACACAATGAGACACTTTTTAATTTAAGAAGACTATTACTTTATATATTAAAAGGACATATTCACAAAGAGTTTACTCTAAAACACTAATTTAACTAATGAATGTGACTTAATTGTCATTACTCTGGATCATATACCCAAATTCTATACTCTCAGACAAAATATTTTCAGAGCAAACATTTAGGCTATCTCTTATTCTAAAACACTTTAAGAAATTTGTTTTCTAAAGAAATGAAAACTTTTTCCTAAAATTCTTCTTGAAATGCAAAAGATTATGAATAACTATTTTATTAATATGGATATGAGTCTATTAAGTTTTAACATTCACAGAATAATTTTTCCAAGCTAAATTCCCAAGGAATACAAATTATGTCTTATCTGTTTGACTCATATTAAGTTATTCTAGTTCTTACATCAATTAAAAGTGGAAATTTTTTTGACTCATTTGTTTATTGTTACTTGACCCATTTATAATACCACTCTCCCTTAGCCTAAACAGATTTTTGGTGTTTTTTTTTTTTTTTTTTTTTGTGGGACCCTCGCTGGCGGCCAGGGAACGAACCAGCGCCGCAGAGGCTGCGGGCAGCCTTGCAGCCCAGCGCTCAACCGCTGCGCCACCAGGGGAGGCCCAGCCTAAACAGTTTTTAACAGAAAGACCTTCACTTACCATTTAGAAATACTCTAAGCAAAAATTTAAGAAATCTATTTTTGGAGGATAAGGATTAACTAGTCCCTTATTTATTAAGAGGTACAACAGGCATATATTCTTGCATGGCAATTATCTGAAATTTGGATTATAAAATGACACTTAAGGAAACAAAGATACCACCATGCTCATACTGGGCGCTTTTTACACCAATGTTAACCTACGCCAATCATGCAACTTCAGAATACCAACAAAATTCTCAACATTGGATTCATTTCCAATGAAATATACATCACAAAGTACATTTAGCTGGGGCTGGAAACACAGAAAAATCTAATGAAAAAATTTTAGAGCCAAAACATTGTGTACAGTTAATTTTTAGAGGGTATTACCAGTTTCTGGACAGCTATAAACTGAGGCTACATAACTCCCCAAAGGATTTTTTTTTTTACAAAGGATTTTCTTATTTTTAAATAAAAAAGCCACTGTTGACCAAGATAAAGCAGGAAAAAAATCACATGTTTTTTTTTTTACTGGATCTCAGTTTCTATAATGGCTGAGAAATCCTTGCAATTATTATGAAAGTTTGCTCAAATTATATTTTAGCTTATATTACCCCAACTTATTATATACCTCATAAAATGATACAACAAAATCATTTCATCTAAATTCTTTATTTCACAGCTAAAGAATACGAGATTCAGAGAAGTTTGGGTACTTGTATAGTACCAACAGTCAGCGAACACATAAAAAGAGATAACTGGCAATTTCTCTAACTGTAAGGTGTTAAAAAAAAAAAAGGGTCAACCAAAAAGTAAATTTCCTTATCAATACTTTCATTTTATTTGGGAAGCACTCATACTTCTTTTGAATGCCCGACCTTCAAGGAACACAACTCTCAAACTTTTCCTTTCATGGGTTAGCTCTTGAATATTGTATACCTGGGGGAATTAGGAGTGCTGCACACAGCACTGTTACAGCTGCAGAATAAACACTTCCTCCACTCTTAGCCTATCATCTGTACCACATATCCTTCTCCCCGACCAACCTCCCATCTCTGTTAAAAATCTCTCCACATTCTTCTCTCTGCAGATTCTTAAGTATGTTCTACTCTAGGTCCTGCCTCGTCAGCCCTATTTTCTAGGTATCAAGAAATTGATACCTCCCAAGTCTAATAATGTAGCCTAATGCTCTTTCCTTCATTACCAACTTATAAATCCAAAACCCTACGGAGTGTGTGCACTTCAATGCTCCACCAACATTTTAAACTCTCCATAAAGTTGAAAACATTTGTGGAGAACAAATCTATTCTTCCTACATTACCAACCATTTGAAAGTATGGGTGTCATCCATGAGTCTTGCCTAGTCCCTCACTTCCAGACTCATTCTAATCAATGACTACCTGGTTTTTTTGTGTTTTTTTTTTTTTTTTTTTTTGCCTATGGTTACTTTGCACTAACACTTCCTAATTCAGTCTACCATCATTACTAACAAGCTTCTTACTTTGTCTCCCACCATTAATTATTCCAAGTATGATGTCTCTACCCTTAAAATCCCAAACCTATCCCCAAATAGTCTTTCTAAAGCTCAAGTCAAAGCAATTCAGTTACTCTCCTCTTTAACTTCTTTTAAGGCTCATCACTATGCTTTGGAGAAGATACAAACTTCTTAACAGATTTCCTAGTTTACAAGATCCTGCAGGATATAATAATATTTATGTGTTCAGCTTCATCTTCCCAAGCCTCCAAACCAATACCCCACATTTCTCCCTGCCCAACTTATGTACCAATTTTCCTCCACCCATTTTGAGCTACTTTTATTTCCCTGAATTTGCTCTATTATTTCCTGTAACTAAAATGAATGTGGCATCCCTACTTCTTGCTATTTACTTAACTTAGAAAAATCCTATTCATCAAGAATAGGATTCTCAGTGAGGAAATACTTTAACTCCATGCTTTAAATGCTCTCCAAAACTTGGCCTTATATAAATAGTCATTAAGTCATGGGATTGTGGTACCATTCATTTGTTTCTCTTCCACACCAAAATGTGAGGTCCCAGACCACACACACAGAGCAGTGCCTGGCACATAACACATGCTACTAAACAGTGTCTTACAAATGAGTGAAACTTGCAATATACAGTAAGACCTCCTACTATACTCAAAATTTGTTACATTTATAGTGTCATAAAGCATTCTCAGTGATACATCTGGAATGAAGATATTCTCCAAAGAATGATATTTTAACTATCAGGTTAATGTTGTCAATATGACTATGTTAGAGTTCCCACTTATTCAAACACTAATCTAGGTGTTAGCTGTGAGGTATTTTGAAAATGTGATTAGCATCTACAAACAGTTGACTGTAGGGAAATATCCTGAATGAATGATCTGGGTATGCCTGATCCAATGATCCAATCACTAAAAGGGTTGAAGAACAGAACTGACATTTCTCTGAAGAAGAAATCCCACCTCTGGACAAGGGCTTCAGCTTCTACTCAAGACTCTCCAACCACTCCTGATGGCCTACTGGATGGATTTCAGATTAAACTAGCCAGTTCCCACAACCAAATAAGTCAATGCCTTTCAATAAATCTCTTCATTCTGTTCTATTTCTCTGATTGAACACTGACTGTTACAGGCACCTACTTAACAAAGTATAGTCAGCCTGAACTTTATATGCTTAAACAATTCAGTTTGTTTAAATGTAAATACAAATAAAATGCATATATCAAACAATAGTTTTACTTCTCTACATCAACCTAATTGCCCCAAAACAGGTACAAATACATAATGGAATACTACTCATCAATCAAGAGATAAACTCATGACATTTGTGGCAACATGGAAGAAGCTGGAAGGGATTTGCTAAGCAAAATAAACAAGAAGGACAAAGACAAGTACACGACAGTGTCATTTATATGTGGAATATAGAGAAACCAAAGTGTCACACAAGACAAATTTTAAAACCAACCCTTGAAAGTTGACCACGATTTGAGACATTCAGTCTGCCACCCATGGTGGAGAACTATGGGTGCTTTCATGGTGGGAGTTACGGTGACCACAGCTAAGGAGAGAAATCCTATACTATCTATTAAAATATTAACAAGGATGTAAACCAAAGGTACTTCTTTAAATAATTGTTTAAAAAATCAGATTAATATGCTTTCATACTCAAAAAAGAAATCAGAATAGAAACCAGTTAGCAGAATTTCAGAAAAAAAAATACACCTTTTATAGTAAGTTAAAATGCAATGCAATTTTCTAAAATTTACCTATGCATAACTTTCAATTATAACCTTCAGGCATCAAACTTGCACAAGAACAAAAAAATATCTTGAGATTACAATGAATTAAGAGCAACATGAGAAAATGAAAATTAAACATCAAATTCACTATAGTTACAGACAAAATTTTACTTACCTTTTTAAACATAACTAGTGAGATGACTGCTGATGCTGTGAAAAGTGCTGCTATGATTATCATCATGATTCCAACAGGAATACTTCGGTTGAGGCCAGTAAGGGATGAAATCCAACCGCTATGAAGGAATGAAAGTATAATTAGGTAAGTAAAGTTAACACATACTTTTGCAAAAATGAAACAATACATATTCAGCAATATGAGTCAAGCAATGTTCAAATTCTTTATTTTTTTATTTTTTTGAAGATTTATTTATGCATACATGAACTGGGGTGTAGGCCAGAGTTACGGGGGGTGAGAGGATTCACCAGAGACAGAGTGGGTAGCAGAACAGGCAGATCTACTGAAATACACTGCTGACAGGAGCAGTGGGTGACACAGGAGAGGTCTGCTGTGCCATGTGGGTTGGTTCCCTGGCTGGGAATCGAACTCATGCTCTGGTCGCTGGCAAAAGCTTAATAGTGATATGTCTTTAACTCCTACACCATCAGGGAGGCCAAAGGTTCATATTCTTTTTATGTATTAATTCATTTAATTTTCAAAAAAATCCCATGAAATAAGATGCTCTTTATAAACCCAATTTTGGACAGATTCAGTAAATTAGCTAAGGTCACTCAGCTCATAAATGACATAAATTCAAACTCAGTCATGATCCAGCAATTACATCCCTAGAATATAACTAAAGGACACAAAAACACTAATTTGAAAGGAAACCTGCACACCTAAGTTTGTTGTAGCACTATTTACAATAGCCAAAATATGTAAGTAACCCAAATGCGCCCAAATAGACAAAGAGATCAAAAAGATGTGGTATGTTTACATAAGGGAACACTAGTGATCAAAAAGGACAAACTCATGCCATTTGCTGCAACTTGGATGGAGATGGAAGGGGATTATGCTAGCCAAAATATTATTCAGCAATCAAAAAAGATAAACTAATACAATTTGCAGCAACATGGATGGAGCTGGAAGGGATCTTGCTCATTGAAATAAGCCAGAAAGAAAAAGAAAAATATCAGATGGTCTCACTCATAGCAGGAAGTTAGAAAACCTGAATAAGGGACCAGGAAAAAGACTAATTATAATAAAGTTAAAATCAAAATCAACAAGCAACTATAAACCAGAGACATACTGTGCAGGGGGTTGGGGAGGGGAGTTGGAGGGATTATGGTCAAAATAAGGGGGGTGGGAACTCTCTGGGGACAATAACCAAGATGAAAATGCATACACTGTGCAAAAATGAAAAATGATGTAAAAATATATATATAAATTTTAAAAAAGCCAGAAAGTAAAAATATCTGATGGTCTAACTTGTATGTGGAATACAGAGAAATCAAACAAAAGGTCAAGAAAAAGTAAAAACCAGCAAGCTGACCATAGGTCTGAGGCATACAGCAAAGGAAGGGAACAAAAGGGGATTAAAACAGGGGAAGGAAGAACATAATACGGTGATGGTTCACAGTTGATATGGTGGCAAGAGAATTATGGGGACTACATCACTATAAGAAAATTATAATAAAAAGAGAAAAAAAACAAAACAAAAAAACAAGCCCAAAAACAAATTCCACCGACTTAAGTGTGGACCACCAGATTAAAACATTAACAAAACAATTCAACTAGACAATGTGGAAAAGACATAAAAAGACATTTCACCAAGAGGATACAAAGATGGCAAATAAGTATATGAAAAGATATCTAACATGAGTCACTAGGGAAATGCAAAACCATTATGAGGTATCACTACACATCTGTCAGAATGGCTAAAATAAAAAATAATAAAACCAAATGCTGATGAGAATTTCTAGTTTCGCAAGGTATTATTCTGGGGGAAAGTGGGGAAAGGGTAGCTGGTATCTCTCTGTATCATTTCTTGTAACCGCAGGTGAGTCCACAATTATCTCAAAATAAAGTTTATATTTTTTCATCTGTGACTTATATCAGGTCTATCTTAAAACAAGCCATCCTGTATACACTAACACTTTTTTGTGTATTCTTTAGACACTACATGCTGTTGTGTTCAATTTTCAGTTTTTATAAATTTGCACAAAAAAGCAAAAGAAATTACTTCACTTTCATAATTAAAAAGCACACTGTTAATATAAGCAGTGTATTTCTTATTTTATTTATTTATTTATTTTTGGCATGTTTTATTTATTTATTTGTTTGTTTGTTTATACAAGCACTGGGTACAGTCAGAAGCGCGGGAGGGTGAGAGAATTCACCAGAGCCAGAGCGGGGAGCAGAGCAGGCAGAAGGACCAAAGTACACTGCTGAGGGGAGCAGCGGGTGGCGGGAGAGGGCTGCGCGCCATGTGGGACCCTCCTCCGGTGGCCGGGGAGCAGCTGGGGATCGAACCGGCACCGCAGAGGCCCGTGGGCAGCTTCGCAACCCAGCGCTCAACCGCTGCGCCACCGGGAAGGCCCAGCAGTGTATTTTTTAAACATTTCTTTTCCTTCAAATGTGACAGTAAACATTATTCACAGTAACAATAAAGTGTTTTTCATTGAAAAGACTTAAAATATCAGTGTAAATCGTCTCCAAGGTAGACATGCTCACTAGAAGATCCATAAAGCTATTGATAGTTGTCTGACAGCCAGATTACTCCACTTCAGTTGTAGCATACCAATTTTTTTAAAGATTTATTTATTTATTTATACAAGCACTGGGTATAGTCAGAAGCGCGGGAGGGTGAGAGAATTCACCAGAGCCAGAACAGGGAACAAAACAGGCAAGACTGACGAAGTACACTGCTGAGGGGAGCAGTGGGCGCGGCAGGAGAGGTCTGCGCACCATGTGGTGCACCATGTGGGACTGCGCACCATGTGGGACTCTCGCTGGCGGCTGACCGGTGCTGCAGAGGCTGCGGGCAGCTTTGCAGCCCAGCAGCCAACCGCTGCACCATCAGCGGAGACACCCAATTTTTTTAAAAAAAATTTATTTATGCATACAAGAAATGGGTTGTAAGCCAGAGGTCTGGGGGGTGATGAGGATACACCAGAGAGAGTGGGGAGCAGAACAGGCAGAGCCACTGAAATACACTGCTGAGGGGAGCAGAGGGTGAGAAGAGAGGTCTGCTGCTCCATGTGGGTTAATCCCTGGCAGCTCAGGAACTGAACCAGTTCTGCGGTGGTTGGCGATATCTTGATAGTGCTGTCTTTAACCCCTATACACATTTTATTTAAACTAGCAATGTATTTTTTTTTTAATGGGAATGTGATTTTCAAATAAAATATGTCCAAATATTACCCTGAGGACACATTTTAACTGCATATTCTATTAATTTCACTTTTGTTTACTTTTGCCAAGCTGGCTTTTCTGTTAACTTTTTTTTTTTAAGATTTATTTATGCATGCAAGAACTGGGGTACAGGTCAGCGATGTGGGGGGTGAGAGGATTCACCAAAGACAGAGCAGGGAACAGAACAGGCGGACTGACTGAAATACACTGCTGAGGGGAGCAGTGGGCAAGTCAAGAGAGATCTGCTGCACCATATGGGTCACATCCCTGGCCACGGATGGAACTGGTGCTGCAGTGGCTGCTGATAGCTTCATAGTGCTGTCTTAACCCCTTGCGCCACCAGGAAGGCCTGCTATGTTAACTATTTTTAAGCCAAAATTATATAAATATACTATGTAAGATTAAAGCTGGAATAATTAAAGCTGGAGTAAATGACTTACCAGTTGCCCCAGTTATGAAATCCTGCAGCCTGGAGTACATGTACAGCAAACTGACAAATATAGACGAAAAAGAATACAAAGAATCTGAATGAACTGTCACTCCTAAAGGGGGAAAAAAAGAAAACAAGAAGAAAAAATAGGAGAATGTCATTTTTCATAATACCTTTACATTCACATGAAGGCTGATACACAAACATTAAAAACTAAAAGATTTCTAAATAAAAATTTTAAGTACCAGAGGGAATCATCAAAGTATTAAAATATATATTTTAAGTAATAATATATGTGAACCCTTTTTCCAAATATCAATTCATCTTGGTAAAGAAAAAAATTTTCCTTTTTTAAAAAATGAAACAGCTTCACTGAATTTAATGCACAAAAAGACAAAAATATTTAAACTACTCAATTCAGTTTTTGGTTTGCTCTGCGTGTGATACACATGAACCTTTTCCAATTAAGATAGTGAACATATACCAAAAGTTTCCTAGTGCATCTGGATCTCTCCTTTCCCACCTTGCCACTGAATTTTGTCACAACAGTTTTCATATTTTAGAATTTTATATAAATGGGATTATACAGTATATACTCTTGTCTGCCTTCCTTCACTTAGCATTCATCAAACGTTCATTCCTTTTCACTGCTAACAAATAATCCATTGCATAGCTAAATTACAGTTTATTATTTGTTGACATTGTCATTCTAGCTTTTTACTATCACAAATAAAGCTGCTATAAATATTCATGTGTAAGTCTTCATATAAACACATTTCCATTCCTCTTGGCTAACTACCCAGAAGTGGAACGGCTAGACACATCATTGGTATATATTTACCTTTTCAAGAAACTGCAAAACTGTTTTCCAAAGAAACTAATATTTTATATCTCTAGTAGCAGTATATAGGTATGAGTTCCTCCACATCTAACAACTGGTAAGGTCTATATTTTAAATTTCAGTCATTTTAACAGATGTACAGTGGCATCTCATTTTGTTTTAATCTGCATTTTCCTACTAATGGTGCTGAGCATATTTTTATGTGCTTTTTGTTATCTACTTTCCTTACTAAAGTGTTAAATCATTTTAAGGTTTTTTCCACCCAGTTTCTGAATTTTGAGTTTTTATATATTCTGGCTACAAAAGTACCTTATTAGATACATTCTCTTAAGAGTGTCTTTGAAAGGGTTTTGCGTTTTTTATGAACTCCAATTTATCTCCTTGTTCTTTTATGGATCTTGATTTTGTTGTATCTAAGAAACCTTTGTGAAAGTCAGGGCTTAAGGTTTTTCCTTTGCCTATAAAATATTCAATTACTCCAGTACCATGTATTAAAAAGACTGCCTTTTCTATAACGCATTACCTTTGCATGTTTTTTCAAAAATCAGTATGTATATGTGGGTTTTATTTCTGGACACTATTTTGTCCCATTGTTCCATTAGTCTACCTTTATGCTGATGTCACACTATTGTAAATTTTCTATTAAGTCTTCAAATTAGGTAATTATATTAGTCTTCCAACTTTGTTGTCATTTCTCAAAATTGTTTTGGCTAGTCTATGCTTTTACATTTCCATATACTATTAAGAAACACCTTGTTAATTTCCATAAAAGTGTCCTGGGATTTCGATTCAGACTGCATTGCATCTATAGATCCATTTTGAGCTTCTTCATAATACTAAATCTCCCAATCCTTTAACAAGGTATCTTTCTGTTTATATTTTCTGCATAGATGACAACATAGTTTGTGACTAAGAGTTTTCTTCTTCCTTTCTAATTCCAATACTTTTCTTTTTCTTGCCTGTTAGTACTGGACAAAACTTCTCCAATAGAAGCAGGAAGAATGAATATCCTTATCTGGTACTTGATCCTAGGCAGAAAGCTTTCATTCTTTGACCATAAAGTATTTAGTAGTTAGCTACAGTTTTTCAAAGATGTCCTTCATCAAGTTGAGAGATCGCTTTTATTAGTTTATTATGTTTTTATCATGAAAGTGAGTGTTGGATTTGTCAAATGCTTTCACTAATTAAAATGATATGCTAATTTTCTATTTCAGTCTGTAATATAGTGAATTGAACTAATTAATGTTCTAATGTTAAAACAATTTTGAATTCCTTGAATAAACACTACTCACTTGATCATCATAGTATCCTTTTAACATCATCTATTAGATTTAACAAGATTTTTAACTATGCTAAGTTTACTCCATTTTTCTATTTAGCAGTGTCTACTGCAACCACAAAACATATTTTTCAAGGCCCTTAACATTTCAAATTACTCAATCTTAGCATAAAACAAGAGGAAAATAAAAGCCAGAGGAATCAATCTCCTCCTCTTACTATTCCCTACATTGACTTTCCACATTTATATATACCACAAACCTTCCTTTACTGCTTATCTGTAAGGAGGTATTATCACTCCTTTCAAAACTAACATATCTTCAGCCATCATCCCAGTACCCCTATGAGCTCTCTATTTGTTACTTATTCTATCCCCTACTTTGTCCACAAGTCTTTGTCTAGGTTCTTCCCTTTTGTCTTTTGTGTATAAATACTAACCTTTCTCATTTTCAAATAACCCTCCTTTAACCCTGACTCCCCCACTAAACTTCCACTGCCTTTATCTTCCTCTTTTCCATCAATAAAAAAAATCTTTTCCATCAATAAGGAGTATTCTATCAGTAACTTCCTCTACCTGTCTTTTATCATTCACTTCTCAATACACTGTAACTTGGTTTCTCCTCACGTACTGTTTCATAAGCAGTATGTGGCATAAAGTATTCATGGGCAATCTATGAATTTCCAAGTTTCTCAAGTGTCTCTCTACTTCTTTCTGGGATTTAGCATTGAAGATACTCCTTAAACATTCTTTGTCCCTGGTTTCTATGCTATTATCTACTTCCACTACTACTTTGATCTAAGACAAATTTCAGTCTCTTATTTCAAACTCCACCTCCTCTATGTCATATTTCAAAATTGTTTTTCCAGAAAAGCTCCCTCGGGATTCTTGTATCTTGTTTGCAAACTACTGACCATAGAATGAAGTCCAAATAATTTAACACAGCATATACATCTCTTCATCATACATACATAAAATCTCCATTCCAGCTACTCAAACTGAAGAACATGTCTTGCTATCTCAACGCCTTTATTTATAGTCTACCTAGAATGCCCCAATGGTTCCCTTTTTTTTGGCCTAGCAATCAAGTTCTCAACTTTCAAGAAAAGTTGCTAAGTCTAATATGGTTTTGTGAACATTTATTTTATTTTTTAGGTTCATCTATAAGTTATCATTATTTTGTTGCTCAAGTTGTTTCAACTTTGACCTCACAGAGTCTACTTGTATAGTACTCCAAGCTCATTTGGTATTGCCCTGCCCCAACTCTAGAATTGGCCATTTCTCCAAAGTGCAAAAAAAAAAAAAACCATATTTTAATGGTTTGTAAATGTTTTCTAAATCAGTCAGATTTAAACCAAATGGTTTTCATTTTTTAGTAATTCCATTACTAATAAATTACACCAAAGTTGGTGTTACTTGGTGATCATAAAAATTGAGAAATTTACCAACAAAAACCAAACAAGCAGCAAGGAAGGCCACAATACAAAATGTTACTTTTTTAATACAAAATAGAAGCCTTACATGTGCTTCATCTCTTCAGGCTCACTTGGTGAAAACAAGCATCACTTTTAATTATCATTATGTTTTTTTGCTGTTTTGAAGCAGGTCCTAAAATATCTTCCTAAGACCTCTTCCTATGTTGCTATAGGTTTGGTAAAGAAAGAAGACTAATAGCCTTTTTCTTGTAAAACTTTTAATTTTTTGTGTACCAAGAAAACAGCATTATAAAAATGTTTAAAATTATATGTGAAATATATACCCTGAAAAAAAACTTCATTCATAGAATAATGCCTGATGGCCTCATAAAAGTTATTTTTGTTCCTTAATGGGGAACTTTTTATTTAGTTCCAAATTCACAAATTTATACTAGAAGCTCAAACTGCCTAGAAACAATCTCTAGCTAAGAAACCTATTATAATGCATGGAATATGTTTTAAAAATCAACTAGTCCTACTAAGAAGAAAATATTCACAAAATATTGCTATCAAATACAAATGGAAGAATGTTAAAATTGGTTCACTTTGTTTTATATGTTTAGTTAGTACATATATAGTTAGTATACTTCTGAATTTGATCAAAAGAAGCCTCAAAGTCCCATTTTGTCTTTTACTCTCTAAAGCAGGGCTAAATATATTTAAATAGACTATTTTTTACCTTGTTTGATTAACCAATTTTTCTGCTACTGGACAAAGAGACAGTAAAGTTTATTTTATTGAACACTTACCAAGGTAATATAAAGTATTATTTTAAAACACTTCAAAGTTCTGAGATATACACTCCACATACTAGCAATTACTTAAATATCTGGATTCTTACCTCCAAGAGCATACACAAATCTCCCTGTAACCTGTCCAAATTATTACAAACACAAAATCAGCAAAATTCAATTTCTATAAATATTAACGTGTTTTTAACTAAATAGTCACAGAAAATAAGGTTCTTTATATCAAAAATATTAAAAAGTAAATTTCACTCCCTATGAAAACAATTTTACCAAATGGGACTGTAATTCCTTGCCAAAAACCTAAAATTTCTTAAGAATTTATATGCAAAAATTGAGCTAGTCACAATGCTAAAAAGGATATTAAGTATAATTTCCCAATTACCAAATAGTACAAATTAACAAACTGGAACAATACAATTATTCAATGAATTAAGTTCATTTGAGATGCCTGAGGGAAAAGCCAGGAAATTGCTGAGGAGCTCTGAAAAAAAAAAAAAAAAAAAAAAAAAAAAAAAAAAACAGAAGTCTCCTTAGTGGAGTACTATACCCAAGAATCAGAAAAGGTTTAGGGAAAAAAAGGTCATAGGGTATATAGGACTTCTACTGGCATCTAGAACCAAAGGTGGTGGGTTTGCTGTATATAAAGAGATTAAGAAGCAGACTATTTAAATAACCTAGCTTATACATACTCATCTTAAGCCAAAGAAGAATGAATAGAAATATAGGAAAAACTACCACTGATTTAAGCTAGATGGTTTTAATTTACAATTT